TAGATGAAGTGAGTGTGACAATAACACCTGAGGTTAGAGGACCCTTAAAACACTCTCCTTCAAGTTTCCACGGTGGTCAGATTTTCCACAAACCACTTGGCTGCTTAACTTGGGTGGGAACATTTCTGTTGAGTTCTATGGGAACAAAGCTTGATTTCGAGGCAAGGTAGGAGGTAGATACATTTGTATTTATCCCCAGCTCTCAATGTTAGCTGACAAGTCAGAAAATGCTAGCTTTCTTGCCGGTAAGTAGTAGAACTAGTATACCACAACATACTTTAAAACTGTAATTAGGAGGGCCAGGGATTTAGCTCAGTGGTTCCGACGCCTGCCTCGCAAGCGCAAGGACCCGAGTTCAATCCCTGGTACCAAAAAACAAATTGTAATTAGGATTACTTCTAGTGCAGAGAAGAACTCAAGGGGCCAACCTGTAGGTAACAGTAAAGACTTTCAAAAAACTAAAGCACATGGAATTAAAAAGAGGTCTGGGTTCATTCCAATGGAGAGGAATTTTGTGTTTTCATTCTTCTCCCTCTCTCTCCCTTGTACTGCGGATTGAACCCTGGGCATTCACATTGAACTACATCCTCAACCCTTTTTGATTTTTTGAGGTGGGGTTTCACTAAGTCACTAAATTTCCCAGGCCGGGGGGTGGGTGGGGGGTGGTTGAACTTGTGTACCTCCTGCCTCAGCCTCCTAGTGTGGTGAGATTACAAGTGTGCAACACCATTTCCAGCTTCCACTCTAATTTTGAAGGCTAAGTTATACCAGGGATACCTGGCTTCTGAGCAAAGGACAGCAAAATTGGTCCGTCCTGGCTCTATCTTGTGGTTCTGAAAAACTGTTTTGTTTGGAATGTATTTGTCTTTATACAAGCAAAATATAAACACTCTGTAAAAACATTTTAGAAAAAAACAAATGAAAAACATTTTAGATAATTTAAGTGAAATCAAAATTTCCTTTGTAGTTTTGCTGCCCTCAGTAGAAGAGTCTGTTTAAATTTGGTGTATATTTTCAGAGACCTACTGAGGAACTGAGAATGCAGACAGATTAAAAACAAAAACAGAACACAGAACACCAAAACCCACCAATCACTGCTGAGAGTCAGAGCAATAATGGAGGAGATTGCTTTAACTATACTTTCTGAAGTGGGGACCAGGGCTGTGGATGTAGCTCAGTGGAGAACCGCTTCCCTCACATGTATGAGGCCCTGAGTTTGATCCTGAACATGGCAAAATAAGTCATTTTGCTGGGTATGGTGGAGTCATTTTGAGAGGCTGAGGCAGGAGGATTGCCAAGGTCAAGGCTAACCTAAGTGACTTAGTGAAACCCTACTTCAAAATAAACAATAATAAAAAGGGCTGAAGATATAGCTCAGTGGTAGGGTACTTCTTGGTTCAATCCTTGGTACCAAGGGATGGGAAGAGTAGGGATCACCACAGATGTATAAAGCAAACGCCACTAGTATAGCCGAGGGAGCACAGCAGCCAAAACAAAACAACAACAACAACAACAACAACACCACACACACACACACACACACAACCACCTTGCAGTGAATGGGGCTGAGGTCTCAGGACTCTTGAGGAACCTGTGGCTGGCAAAGAGGTATCTTCCTTCACAGAGGTCCTTTGAAGAGAGCTATCAGTTTTGGTAAAGTGCTCTGAGATCTCTGAAGAAAAAGTACTAAATAAAACCATCAACAACAGCCCCAAGTGGGTTGGGATGCCTGGGCACAGAATAATACTAGGGAAAGGAGAAACATTAATCTTATCTCTTTTGATTTGGTTGGTTTGAGGGAAGTCTCTCAAACTGTTATATCTTTATCACGTGGCAACTAGTCTGAAACAATTTGATTTTTTTGTTTGTTTTTTGGTACCGGGCATCAAACTCTGGACCTTGCACTTTCAAGGCAGGCGGTGGAACCACTGAGCTAAATCCCCAGCCCCTGAAATAATTTGAGAACCAGCATTAGCACAGAAAAAGGCAAATCATACTATTAACAATAGCTATCATTTGAGCAACCACCATGTGCCAAGCACTTTGTGAAGTTACCTAAGTTTTCTATAATTTTTGGTGGTAGATACCACCACCATCTTGAAGATGAGAAAGTTGATACCCAAAGAAAGACTGGGTTACATGGCCAAGCAATCCAGAAGTAAGAGGTGGTCTGAACCCAAGCCTGCTGGATCTTAACCCTAGGTTCATTCATACTCAATCTTTCTTCTTACATTATGCTCTCTTTGGTACTATATGAACTGAGAGAAAAGGCACCATATCCTTGAGTTAGGAGGCCAAGGCCTTATTTTTTGTACAGTACTTAGTTGTAACCTTGGGCAAGCTGGCAACAAGCTGGGCTTCAGTTTTCTCACTTATACAATGAGACGGCTGTACAAATCTTGCTCTGTGACACCCCTAGGGCATGTGCATCAAACCCACTGGCACCATATGGCCAGGGCCAAACGACCAGCAGCAATTATGACACACAAGTGGTAGAAGACATAAGGCATTCCCATCAGTTTTAGGCACTAATCACAGTAAATATTTTTACTGGAGAATGAGAGGGAGTAGTAAGGACAGAAGGCTCCAAAAGACGTCTCCCTTTCTCTGTACTACACAAACAGAGATTGCCCTGAACTCCATGTCCTTTCATTGCACAGATACACCTCTGTTTTCTACCCTTAAAAAGCCAGTTTTTCAGGTCTTTTGTTCCACAAAAAGCCGGATGTCTGGTTGTTGAGTCAGACCTCAATGTGCCTAACAAGTTCGGTTTTCTACAACACAGTTATAAAGAACAAGTTCAATCAATCCATAGCCCTATTTCGGTAGGGGCTGCTTTGGCATTTCAGATCTTTTAAGTTCTCAGCTTTTCACTTGATCTTAGCCAAAAGGCCGAGAAGTGATAGTTCTCAGCTTTTCTAAAAGGGTCTACCTAACAGGTATCTTCTGGGGTCATTGCCAATTCTGAGTCACAGCAATGTCCCTTTAGTGGAAAGCCATCTATTTCTGGATAAAAAGGTCTCCAAGTAAAATCCTGCTATCCTCCAAGTATAATCCTGCTGAGAGATGGGAGGTGGGGATCAGCCCACTCAGTGCCCTGCCAGTTCCAAGGAAGCAGCAGGGCCAGGAGAATTTCCTCACGTGTTTCCAGTGTGTTTCACGCGTTTTATTGCTCATCTACCATGCAGATCAAAAGCACTGGAGCAGGTCCAACTGTTTCACAGAATCTCACACTTCAGGCTGGCTACAGCCCCGAAAGCCTTCATTTCTTCACTTGAAATACTGCCCAATGTTATTTTGGGATATGACCTGATAGAAGAAGCCCATAGGGACTCCATGACGATAACTGTTCCAGCTGTGATTGGTTGCTGAGGCCCAGTGAGTGCCAGCATGGGTTTGTCAGGCTTTGCTGACAAACAGAATTCAGTAGCTAACACCTTCTCTTCACACCACAACAAAACTGTGCCTGAAATCACACAGTCCATACTTCATTTGGGGGTGGGGGAGGGTTGTGCTGGTGCTTTCAGAGAATCACAAGCTCTAACATGAACTAGCTGCCTGGGGAAGCACATTTTTAAGCAGGATGATATGAGATCAGGTTTAAGGGAAGGGGTTTAAATGATCTCCTAATAAAAACCACAGAGGATGACAGTTCATTTTGATGAGCAGATTAAATATTGTTAATAGGCCAGTCTAAAGATAGGGTCATGGTAAGCTCATATTTATAGAATTTTCCTATAAATCTGGATGACTCCCTGAAGAACTCAATGGAGTTCTTGCATTCACTTAGTTGTGAAGAGCTTTTGCCTATTTGTGTTGACTACTGGCAAGTTTACCCCATCAAGAGAACCAGGTAAATCCCACACATATTTACAGTAAGTGTGTGTAGTACTATACTTGCAACGCAGCCATACCTGTTTAAAATGAAAAATCAAAATGCATAATATGAAATGACCAAATCTATGTTATCAATATGCCAGGTCTCCCCTACCTCAGCCCAATCTCACAGATCCTGAGACATGTAAGGAGGATGCCATGCTGGAGACTGGGAGAAAACCCTGGAGATACAAAAGAGCCAGAGACATGGGCCGGGGATTTAGCTCAGTGGTGCTGTCACTTGCCTTGCAAGCGCAAGGTCCCGAGTTCAATCCCTGGTACCAAAAAAAAAAAAAAAAAGAAAAAAGAAAAAAAAAGAAAAACGAAATAACAGAGACAACAGCAGAGAATAGTAACAGAGACGACAGCTTCAACAAATTCCAAGGAAAAAAGACCAACACAATTACTTTAAGGCAAGTTGGTTTTTGGAACACCTGGGTTTTCATAATACCTTCCTTAAACTTACAATGTATTTGTCAAGGGTACCAGGAGAGAAGAAACTACATCTATCAAACACTCCTTAGGGCCAGGGATGAAGCTCAGTGGTGCTACGCCTGCCTGGCAAGCGCAAGGTCCTGAGTTCGATCCCCAGTATACCCCTCCACACCAAAATTCAGTATAATAAGTTTCAGTTGTAGGTTCTCCTCTCTTTGGTCTTTGCTACAAATGTAAGGAAGGGCAATCTGACCCACTTCATACAGGTAGGGACCTAGAGTTACAGATCCACTACACCGCTGTTTCAAGGAGTGGTCTCTGTCCAAAAGATTAACTGCCATCTATGCCTAGAGAGCAGGCTAGCTAGTGCTGGCTAAAGTCCTAAGAATGAATCCAAACACAGAACAGTGGCCGGGGATTTAGCTCAGTGGTTTCGCTGCCTGCTGCGCAAGCGCAAGGACCCAAGTTCGATCCCCGGTACCAAAAAACCCCCCCAAAAAACATAGAACAGGGGCCGGGGATTTAGCTCAGTGGTTCAGTGCCTTCCTCGAAAGCACAAGGTCCCAAGTTCGACTCCTGCTACCAAAAAAAAAAGAAAAGAAAGAAAACATACAACAGGCTGCCTCTTACTCTGGTGGTACTGCAGGGGATAAGCAGGTGGTAAGGAAGGGGGAAAAAAAAAGACAAGAGACTGGCACCATTCTTTTAATTTAGGACCAAGCACTATCTCCTGTCTGGCCAACACATACTGTTTGGAAGAGCACAAACTGTTCCAGCAAAGGCTCAGAGAACTCCATTTGTTACTGGTCCCACCACGTTTCCAAACTTGGTTTGTATCCTAGAAACCACCACATAGGATGAGATCGCTCACCAAAATCCCTCTTCTCTTTTTCTACAATGGGCTATTGTTCTGGGGATAATGGTTCATTCTTCCTGGTACCTTCTGTCTGCCTGGTGGGGAATACACAGCAAAGAAGGGTCAGACACTTTTTGTTTCCAGAATGCTTTTCAGGGACCCTTCTCCAAGAGGAAATACCCTATATAAGTCAGAATTCATAAAGAAAGCTCTAGGAGACCAGGTCTCCGAATTCAAAGGAAGCTGGAAAGAAGCTAATAAAATGAGTTCTTTTATATTTCCTTTTTGTAAGGAAGTAGAATTGATATGAATATGTGACTGTCATGTTTAACTGTAAGGTAAGGGCTTGACTCACATTTGATTTTCACAATTATCTTCTGATGTTGCTACACTACACGCCCCCCCCCCCATTTTAAGCAGGTTCGGAAGTTAAATGACTTGCCCAAGGACAGACAGCTATTAAACACAAGAACTGGAGTTCAAATCTATATTTCCTTTACTCTTTCCATAAGGTAGAAGCTTGACACTATCAAAGGCTGAGCTCCGCACTTCAAATGAAGTAAGCAATAACCTGTCTCGAGACATGCTGGGTAATCAGCCATGTGCTTTGAACAGGCTAACCTCACTAGGTCTCTCTTTGCTTCTTTATAGAAGGAAAGACTAAAACTAACCCAAATACCACTCTACAATACTGTGTTTCTTTCCTAACTGTACATCTAACTTTCATGGTTTATTTAAGAAATCCTTTCACCTATCATCCTTTCAACTTAAACTTAACTTTGTCTGTGCTAAAGGGTTTGTTTTATTGGGTTTTGTTTTGCAGAACTGGGGACTGAACGCAGGGCCATCACAGTGAGCTATATCCCAAGCTACTCCACCCCTCCCTTTTAAAAATTTTTCATTTTGAAACAAGTCTCACTAAATTGCTAAACTGCCCATGTTGGGCAATCCTCCTGCTTTGGCATCCCAGAGAGCCTGGATTACAGGTGTGCCACTCTAGCTCTGTGTGTGTGTGTGTGTGTGTGCTGGGGATCAAACCAAACAGTCCTTTGTACAATGATAGCTAAATGCCCTACCACTGAGGTGTAACCCAAAATGCCCTGGACTTTCAAAATGGCAGTTAATATAAGAAGGGCTAAGGAGAGAATGACTTGGAATCTAAGGAAACAAAGTTAATCGATATGAAGGTTAAGAGTCTGGTCTCTGCTGGAAATTCAAACTCAATGTGTTCAAATCCTATTATCAAGCACAAGGGTGTGGCTCAAGATATTTCTGGCCTCTAGATGGCCCAATCTCAGGAGATTTCAAACCCTCATACTTTCTTCCTTATCTGGCAATGCAAAGACCCTTCTAAACTTTGGTACAGTTGGGCCTTAAGGTCCCATTCTATAAGGTACAAGATGGGAAGATTCTTTTCTGGAGGTAGAAGCCAAGCAACATTCAACCCCCCAAGCCACAGACAAGTTCCAAGAACAGATCAACAGCTCTCCTTTAACGCACTTCAGGTTGGCTGATTTCCCAGCCAACCAGAACAGAACTAGGTGGGACCAATGGCTTAAAGATACACTATAGGTACAACTATAACCAAAATATTTTTTAGCTGTGGGAACTTCAAATATGAGAACAAAGCCAGATACCATGGTATTTGGGAAGCTTAAGTAGGAGAATTGCTTGAGACCAGGATTTTGAAGGGAGCCTGGGCAACATAGTAAGACTTGTCTTAAAACACACAGGCAGCCAGGGATTTAGCTCAGTGGTTCCGGCGCCTGCCTCACAAGCTCAAGGTCCCAAGTTCGATCCCCAGTACCCAAAAAAAAAAAAAAAAAAATCGGGCCAGGGATTTAGTTCAGTGGTTTTGCTGCCTGCTGCGCAAGCGCAAGGACCTGAGTTCGATCCCCGGTACCAAAAAAACCCACAAAAAACCACACAGGCACGTACAGATGAGAACAGTTTTGTGGGGGGCAGTGGAGAAATCGGAAATCTCCCCCCTCTTAGGAGAAATCTAGTAGTCATTCTGTTTTGTTTTGTTCTTGGTACCATGGATCGAACTGAGGACCTTGCGCTTTTGAGGCAGGCGCAGTACCACTGAGGTAAATTCCCAGCTACTAGTCATTCTGTTAAAGCATCTACTGTAAATGAAAGTCACAGGATAAATCACCTGTCCCTCCCACAACCTTACTCCAGAATTCCTCTGAGGTTGTACACTTCAGTGTTATAGGACTAATGGCTTTGTGCTATATTTGTCCTTTTCCCAGAAGCCTACAGGCCCAGAGCAGGATCAGACTATTAGTGACCGAAAAAAATGCCAGTTACACAAAAGACAAAATGCTTGTTGGGTACAGTAGCACATGCATGTAACTCAGCTTCTCGGAAGGCTAAATAAGGCAGGATTGAAAGTTCAAGACTATTTAGTAAGATACTATCTCAAAATAAAATTTTAAAAAAGGGATAGAAGCTAGCTGTGGTGGCACAGCCAAATGAGGTTGGAGGACCTCAAGTTCAAGTCCAGGCTGGGCAACTTAACAAAACCTTGTCTCAAAATAAAAAGGGATGGGGATGTAACTTAGTGCAAAGGCTCTGGATCCCCAGTACTGGGAGGGTATTGGGGAGAAGGCAGAAGGTCTGGGGATGTGACTCTGGACGTTCACTAGCATATTCAATCCCCAGTATTAAAAAAAAAAAAAAAGACAAGACACTTAATAAATGTTGCTCAATGAACAATCTTCTCAAAAGCATCCTCTTTTAAATCCCATCTCTATCAGTCATCTCTTTCATTTCCATTCCCATCCTTCCCTGGTACCTGAACTCTAGATTCCACACAGGGGAGGAGGGGCTCTTGGCTGCTGCCACTAAGAGAACTGACTCTCTCACCTAAAAACAGGAAGTACAACCCTGAGTGAGCCTTGGCAACTTGGCTTTTGCCAGAACTGCAGCAGTACAGGGAAGGAATGTTTGGAAAAAAGGATGCTGGGAGGTGGGGCTCTGTGTCAATGAAGAAATTTCAATTTAATTGCCAAAAACCCTAAGAACCTGCTGTTCTAACGCACCTCAGCAAAATCTCTTGAGGTAGGCCTGATTCCTGCGTGGAGGCTGAGGGTATTGTTCCTGAGGTGAGAAAGGGGAAGAGAAGAAAAGACTGCTGGGCTGCTTACATTCCTGCAGTGGGATCCCTGAAAACAGCAGCTTGGCCACTGCAGCAGCCATTGATTTTTCAGGGGTCGATATTCTGCTCCCACAGATCTGCTCAGTTGGAGGTTTAATCACATCGAGTGTTTCTGCTCAACATCTCCCCTATGTGCCTCCTCAACCAATAAAACAAACACCAAACGCAATGAGAGTTGGCAAAGAAGATGAGATAGTGCTCCCCACAGCTGTGGCTACCCTCAGAGAAATTTTAGGCACCAGCTTGCATGGAGTAAATACAGAAGAAAAGGAGCCACAGCTACACAGTACAGTCCACAAGAAGCTGCAACAACAGAACCACAGGTCTCAGAGAATCTAATTTACTGGCCAACATATCTCCATGCAGACCAATGTAAACATTGGGAGATTTTACATAAAAAATCCAGGCTTCTAAATTCTTTAAAAAAAGGCCAACGTGCTGACCCACACCTGTAATCCCAGTACTTGGGAGATTGAGATAGGATCTAGGAGGCCAGCCTGGGCTACATAGTGAGTTCAAAGGCAACCTGAACTACTTAATGAGACCCTGTCTCAAACAATAACAACAACAAAAAAGGTGATGATCCTGGAACTCCCACGGGGCACACTAATTGGTTGAAACCACATTCCAGTTTGTCATGGTCTCCAAGAGGCCTCTGCACAGTTACCTGACTAGCACCCTCCACCCCATACATGTACCCTGCCTTCCAAAGTCTTCTCAGTTGGGACAGAGTGGAATGTTTTATCCAACCAGTAACCACCTCTTGGCCAAAAATGTACACAAAAGGGCTGGGAGTGTAGTTCAGTGGTAAAGCACTTGCCTAGCATGGACGAGGCCCTGGGTTTGATTCCCCAGGACTCTCCCTACCCTAACTCGCAACACTGGGTATTTTGAGGGTCACTAGTTAACAGACTCAAATTGGAAAAAAAAAAAAGAAAGAATCTGGGTCAGAGCTGGGCCTGAGTTACAGCAGTGTATATTTATGGAATAAGGGCTGTTCTAATCCCAGCAGGTAACAAGAGCATTATAAAGCTAAGAGAAGGCAAGAAGTTAGAACCCCTACTTTCTCAAAGTCAAACATTCTGTTAGGAAGGCCAACACAGAGCCTGTTCCATGATAAAGATCACTGGCTATAATAATCCTACACCTTGAGGAAGGTGGGCAGGAAAGCAGGGTGGGGTGAGGAGCAAGAGTAAAAATCAGAGAAATGCAACCAGAGCGCTGGATATCAGAAGTGTAACAGGGAGGGTATGTTGCCTTAGGGTTCCATATCATCTGGCTTTCCTCTATATGGCAAACCTGGCTGCCCTCAAAATTGTAGCAACCTGCCAGGGATTTAGCTCAGTGGCACAGCACCTGCCTGGCAAGCACAAGGTCCCAAGTGCGATCCTCACTACACACACAAAAAAACTGTAGTAACCTTCTTCGAAAGCAAGCAAAGGGAAGATGAAATTCATTGTGCTGAATATGACTTAGAACTAACTAAGGGGCTGGTAGCCTCTTGGTTCTATAAAGTTCTAAATGTATATTAGCCAGGGGTCTCCCTTACCACAGCCTACAGGTCTAGATAAAAACTCCAAGTACAGCAATTCCTTGGTTCACAAACAAAAGCATTTGGCAAAATTTTGCTTCTATTTGCAACTCCACATCAGGTGACAAACATGACCATGGCCATCTTCACCATACAAACACAAATGCAGCCATCTTCCCCCAAAAATCATAAAACAAACTATGTTCATAAACCAAGGTACCACTGTATTTAGCCAGGCATGGTGGTGCATGCCTATAATTCCAACACTCAGGAGGCTAAGGTAATACTTTGAGTTCAAAACCAGCCTAAGCCACATAACAAGACTGCCTAAAAAAACCCAAAAAAAACAAGAAACAGAAAGAAGAAAGGGAGGGAATGAGGAAGGCAACAGACAGAGAGAAAAGGAAAGAGGAGAGAGAACATCCAAATATCCTTATAGAACAAGTAGATCTGAAAGTGGGGAATGGACAGAATCTGGAAACAGCAAAGGTGGCCACTAACCCCAAAGGCCTTTAAAACCAAAAGAACAACTCTGAATACAGGGAAATCACAATCAAATTTTAGAAGACATTCTAGAAACATTCTTGATGATGCTTACTCTGAACACTGACCTCTTTTATTTGAAACTTGAGTTCCCTTTTGACCTTTCCCAAAAGGTCAGGAAAGTACCTTCACTCATCTCAGCAAACAATATTCAATATTCCTCTAGTATCAAAGCTGGCCCTAAGGGATAGGTTTGCTGATTCTCACACTTGAGACTTCTATTGTTACTTTTCACTTTCAGTAAGGCAGTTTCTTAGCTTCCTTGGGGAATGTGAAATGGAAAAGAAACTAGCAGCTTGGAGGCAGGCTCTGCTGCATGGCAATCACAGATTATGTCACAATGCTAGCCAATTCTATGCTGATACTAGGTTGAGAAGATGGGACAGGTTCAGGCCCCAGAAGACGGACAAAGCATAGGGTCCCCAATGTTAATAGCACTGAACATATACCAACTTCATCATGCTTTGAGGAAGGACACCAAATGTCTTAGAAACATGAGAGAAAGACAACAGAGCTAATTCTTTTCCGTGCTTGATTTATCAGTTTTGTTAACACACTTCCATATATAGATATTTGGACGATATCTCTGGACCAAATCTGATGGAACAGATTCTCAGCCTGGCTTACGGGGCTGTACTGATTTTTGCAAAGACAGCATTTCTAGGTGGAGTTGGCTTATTTCTTATTCCAAAGACCCAAGTCCCCTAAGCATGAACAAAAACCAGCTTGGCAATTATATACCTGCGGCTTATTTCCTGATTTTTGGCTGCTCTTTTCTGCAGAAGAACAAGAGCAGAAGCCAGGAAACGTGCTTTGGTGGAGCAATCCCCAGTCAACTCTGCAGAAGCTTATAAAAGCACTAACAGGATGCTTGGCATGGTGGCACACAGCTGTAATCCCAGCACTTGGGAGGCTGAGGTAGGAGGATTGCTGTGTTCAAGGCCAACCTAGGCTACACAGTAAATTCAAGGCCTACATAGTTACTATGTAACTACATAGTTAGACCCATAGTAACTACATACTTAGACCCTGTCTCAAAAAACCCAAAACAAATAAACAAAAAACCCAAAAAACATAAAAGCGCCCAAAGGAAAAAACGGTATGAGTGGAGGCAACTAAGTCCATCCATATATTGACTCAGGAATTTCAGAATATTTTAGTTTTAAAGGAATTTTCTTTCAAAAGTAAATGCTTCTTTTTCTTTTCTTTTTTCAGTACCAGGGATTAAACTCATGACCTTGTGTTTGCCAGGCAGGCATGGCACCACTGAGGTACATTCCCAGCCTTCTTTTTGAGTTTTGGAAACAGGGTCTCGCTTTGTAGTGCAGACTGGCCTTGAACTCATTATGGAGCTCAGGTTAGCCTCGAACTCATGGCAATCCTCCTGCCTCAACCTCCAGATTACTGGGATTACAGACGTGTGGCACCATGCCCAGCTAAGAGTAAACAATTCTTACATCCTCCTGGAGAGTAGACCTAAATCCAGAACCTATACTATCACTAACTTTGCCTAAAATCACAATCTTACATCTTTCAACATTTCCTTCTTTTTCTCCAAAGAGAACAGAATATAGAAAGCAAACTCTATTTTCTGAATATAGGATCTCTCCCCTACTCTGGGTGCTAGGGATCACACCTAGGATCTGCAACATACTAAACTTTTTATATGCACTACCACTGAGCTAACCTGTGACCTCTTTCTTTTTTAAGGATCTTTCTGCTCATCCTTTACAGGAGTTGATCCTAATAGGAAAAGCACTAGACTGGAAGTCAAAGAACCCAATGTTTTCATTGACTGAATTACCCAGCTCAAGTTCCTTATTCTTTCTGGGTCTTAAGTTCTTCATATATGAAGTGGGAGGTGGAAGGGGAGAGGAGCAGTGGTGGTTACCATAGTAAATACTCAAACTAGCTTATGTTGTCTCCATTCTACTCTTCCTGTAATTGTTTTGGGTTTTTTTGGTACCAGAAATCGAACTTGGGTCCTTCTGCTTTCAAGGCAGGTGGCAGAACCACTGAGCTAAATCCCTGGCCCTCTTTCTGTAATTGTAAAAGTTAAAACGGCCAGATATGATGGTGTACACCTGTAATCTCAGGACTCTGAGAGACTGAGGCAGGACTGCCAAATCTGCGTACCATGTTTGGGGAATTTAATGAGACCCTATCTCAAACAATAAACAAGGTTGGGGAATAAAGTTCAGTTAGATAATGCCAAGTTCACTCCCTAGTGCCACCACAAGGTACTGGGGAGTGAAGAAAAAGCTAAAACTACATTTCCAATAAACCCTTGCAGATGAGTTTTGGATACAATTCAACTTCTGCTAATTAGAAGCAGACTCATGAGATAACACTCAATTGTGGAAGAGACCATACTTTTTTTTTTTTTGGTACCAGGGATCAAACTTGGGACCTTGTGCTTGCGAGGCAGGCACCAGAACCACTGAGCTAAATCCCTGGCCGGAGACCATGCTTTTGTCACCCTCGTCTGCTTCTGCAGGTTAGTTTCATCCTCCACTTAACTGGGTACTGGTTTTGGCAGTAGCGCTTGCTACTTTTTGATTCTAGCTTACTTATCCCTGGATAGTAGATGTATGGCTATGACTTGAGAGCAAGCAGATAATGTCTCAGAGAGTGTGGGTCAAATCTAGGTCAAATCTGGGTTCCGTTCCTGGAGGCCAAACCTACAGCATGTTCCCTCCATACTTCCTTTGTAAAGCCAAAGTTCCCTATATTAAAATCCTCTCTATTAACTCTATGGTAACCACCACTGCTCCTCTCCCCTTAAGGTTTAATACAAAAATACTTTCTGATTTAGTATTATGATAATGCCAAAAGAGTAGTTGTGAAGAGAAAAGAACAGATATTCCACAGAGCATACTGCCTGCTAGGTGATTGCTTTTCTTGGGGGAAATAGGTAAGGGGAGAATTTACACTTTTAAATATATTTGTCCCCAGCACAGCCTCTTTTATTTCTTCCCTTTTACAACCACCCTGCACTTTCTACCTCCCACTGTAAGCTGGGGCTGGGGTGAGGGTGGGGTGGGCCATGCAGGGGTTGAATAGCTCACACAGGATGGAAGGCTGAGTCAGCACACGCTTTCTTTTCCATGTTCTCGGCAAGCTGTTATTCTGAAGATGGCATTACCACCCCAGGCAAAAGTAAGTATCATCTGGGCTACAGGAAGGCTTGGGCTAGATAGGACAGCAAGTATCTTTCTCAGCAACAGGAGATGTTTACAAGCTCCAGGTCCAAAAGAATCAGGGCACACCAGTTCTGACCAACCTGTGTGGCTAATGAGGGAGAATAGTTTGACCCAACTTATACCCTTATACCAATTTCTTGTCTACAACTGCTTGTAGAAGGCTAGGGACAAAATGAAAAACAAGGTCAAATTCATGCAGTGTGGTTGTTGGAGAAGAGATATCTCCCACCAGTCCTCAGTAGGACTGACTGACTCTGGGAGACCTCATACTAAAGATAAGGCTATACTGCTTTTCAGACTGAGGTTGTTCTAAAGAAAACAAAAGATTCCAGCAAGAGGAATCTTTGTGAGACACACAGGCAGGAAGCAGAGCTGAGCTACCAGTGACTAGAATAGAAACAGGAAACAGGCCCAGGAACAAGCATATTGTAATCTGCTGCTGCAAGCAGCACAGGCTCCAACAGGCACCAGGCAGTATCGAGGCTAGAGCAGTAACTGAGGTGGAGAAGTGGATTGCTCAGCCCTGCTAGAGAACAAGCATTCTAGAGAAAAGATACCTATGTGCACAGGGTACCTGCTGCTCTGAGCAGTCTGTACAGATGTGACAGAGGGGGTGGGGACTTCCTTCCTGAGACTGTGATAGCACCTGCACTATAAATCAAGGGGAGCAAGCACAGACACATGGTCAGATGTAAAGAAAACAGATCACCAACCTTAGAACACCTAGCTCCTCTGCTTACCAAAACTGCCTGTGGCATTTATTTATGTTCCCTTAGAAAATAATAAGCCATCAAAACCCTAGGCAAAGGCCGGAGGTTTAGCTCAGTGCCACCAGCGCCTGCCTGGCAAGCACAAGGTCCTGAGTTTGATCCCCAGTTCTGCAAAACAACAAACAAACAAACAAACCCCTAGGCAAGAAGTATTGGCCACCTCTCCTACCAAAACAGATAGAAGGAAACAAAATCTGTGTAAGATTAGAATCACTGAAATAACCCATTTTTCTAAGTATTTAGAGCTCTTCTGTCACTCCTCTAAATAAACCTAGAGGCAAAAAGCTGGCTCCCAAGCTCACCCAGGTTACAAGAATCTTGGGGCCAAGCATTCACAAAAGGCACAGTTTGGAGTCAGACAAAGTTCTGAATGTTCAAGTAGAGATCAGCAGAATGCTATTCCAATATGAAGAAAATGAGAAAGAATCCCAGAGAAGGTATTTCAGCAGGGTTTTGAAGCCAAAGCAGAACTTCGTGTACATTAAAAACAGAGAGAGCCAGAGATACAATCATCCCACAAAAGAGGGACAGCAAAGGGCCAGAAACTGCAGAGGTGTTCTGGGAGCTGTGGATAGTTCCACTGTAGGCTCTGGACCACAGGTGCAAGGAAGCAGGATCCTAACACAACACCCACAAAACGGCTGGTGATGGTCTCCAACATTCAGAGAGTCTTTGAATTTTACTAGACACAGTGACTAAAATGTGCTGCATTCCAAAGTACTCAGTTTGATATTTTCTTTTGAAAATTTTACTCTCAGCTTTTTCAGGCTCTAACTCCATGCCCCTCAGCCATTAGACATACGAATCACTCAAGGGTCATATTAACAGGAGGGGCTGAGAATGGCAATCTAGCCAAGTGCCAGTGTGATGTCAGTGCTGTGATGATGGACCTTTATCTGAGTAACAAGGAGCTGATTAAAGTTAGTATAACCAGGACCCTGTGTTGTTTAAGAAGGGTCTATAGAGGGCCAGGGCGCACCTACAGAACAGGGCTTGCTCCTCCTATCCAACACAGGAAAACCAAAGAACCAAACTCAAGACAACATTCCACTAGGTGAGGATGTTCTTTAGATGGTTAGTTCCTCCAAGCAGATCCTACAGTCCTGGCCAGCTTCCTCTTCCACCCAAGGCCCTCTTTCACATCTTATCTCTGCCTCTAACACAAAAGAGGCCTGGAAAAACAAAAGTAAAATGCAAATTTATATTTCTTCCTTTCAGAATAGATCCAATAAATGTTAAATGGCAAAGAGCTGAGGGTTTTGTCTAAAAATGAACAAAGGATCAGACTGTCCAAGACTTTTCTCTACTGGATGGCATATAACAGGAAATATTCCACCTGAAACATCAGAGCTAGATTCAAATCCTGATTCTGATCCTTGGTTTTTTCATATGTAAAACAGGAGTGGGGGCCTGCTCAGTGGCACCATGAATGCATGACTGCCTCACAAGCACAAGGTCCATGGGCCGGGGATTTAGCTCAGTGGTTCCACCACCTGCCTCTTGAGCACAAAGTCTCGAGTTCGATCCCTGGTACCAAAAACACAAACAAAAAACAAAACAAAACAAGAGTGGGTGCTCAGAGCATTTCAATTCCTGTCCTCCCAGGACCACTAGTGTTGACTATAGTTCATTCCTTGGCCTTACTCTTGACCTCTAAGATTCAGATTCTATAGGATCAGGATACCCCCCCCCCCATTTCCGCTTTCCAGACCAATGCATCTAACCTCTCAGGGCCTCAGAACATCACAGAAGTAAAACAAGTGCTAATAGCTACTATGTTGTTAAATGAAATCCTAGAATGGCTTAGAAATCTAAGAGATAAAAGAGCATCTATGGTTAATTTAATAGACATTAAAAATCCTAATACTGTTCTCCATCTCATTCCTAACATCAATAATGTTCACTTTTCCTAGGCATGGTGGTACATGCCTGTAATTCCTGCACTCAAGAGGCTGATACAGGAGGATCGTAAGTTTGAGGGCAGTCTAGGCTAAAGAGAAAATACTTGTCTCAAAAAAAACTAAAACAAAACAACAAAAGAAAAAGGAAAAAAAATAGCCAGACATGGTGGCATGCTTCTGTAATTCCAGCACTCAGAAGGCTGAGTCAGGACTATGAATTTGAGGCCAGTGTGGACTACTCAGTGAGACTCTGTCTTAGGAAAAAAGCACAACTCAGATGGTCAATCTGTTGAAGACTATCTTATTCAGTAAAGGAGGGCTGGGGATTTAGCTCAGTGGCACCATGCCTGCCTCACAAGTACAAGGTCCTGAGGAGTTTGATCTCAGTACCAGAAAAAAAAAACAACCATACAATCTTATTCAGTAAAGGGGATAGTGGCTAATGCCTATTATAAGATAACTGCACAGGTGCCTTTGATTTCTTCTCACTCCAGAAAGATGTACCTGTTTATACTCTCTGAATATCCTTCCAGCATCTTCATCCTTTCTTCTTCTATCTGCCTTACTCAGAGTATTGAGATAAAGCTGAGGAACTTCAACTGATTCAACAACCTCTCCTTTCAAGAGTGCTAATAGCTGGGCATGGGAGCCTAGTCCTAATATCTGGGAAGCCGAAGCAGGAGGACTACAAGATTAAGCCCAGTCTGAGCAACTTAGCAAGACCCTATCTCAAAATAAAAATCGAGCTGGGGATGTAGCTCAGTGTAAAGGCTCTGGGTTAAACCCCAGTACCATACACACCAAATGGGGGGGG